GCAGAAGAATCACTTAAGCCCTGGAGGTGGAGGTTGCAGTGAGTTATGCTGATCAGTCTGCTTGAGACCTTGTCCCCTTGCAAAAAAAGAAGGAAAATATAGACTCAACGTTCCCTGTGAGGGTCACAGCATCTCCTAAATCATATTCAATTCGCTCTGCATGTACTGAGCATCTGCTTTATGCCATTACCTTGCTTCTAACCATGGCTTAGGAAAGAACAAGACTAGCCCCTGACTTTGAGGAACTATCTATTAGAGCCATGAGACAGATACATCAGATACAAACAAAACAGCAGGAACAACAGAAACCTGTAAATGAGTACTGACCAAAATGATAGCGACAGATAAAAAGCATATCTCAGGCCGGGCGCGGTGGCTCAAGCCTGTAATCCCAGCACTTTGGGAGGCCGAGACGGGCGGATCACAAGGTCAGGAGATCGAGACCATCCTGGCTAACACGGTGAAACCCCGTCTCTACCAAAAATACAAAAAACTAGCCGGGCGAGGCAGCGGGCGCCTGTACTCCCAGCTACTCGGGAGGCTGAGTCAGGAGAATGGCCTGAACCCGGGAGGCGGAGCTTGCAGTGAGCTGAGATCCGGCCACTGCACTCCAGCCTGGGCGGCAGAGCGAGACTCCGTCTCAAAAAAAAAAAAAAAGCATATCTCAGATGCTGGAAGGGGAGGTCACTGTGAACTCAAGCGATTTGGGAAGGCTTTCTGAGACAGCACAGGGGTGGAGCTCAAGGACTGGGAACAGCTGAAGGTAATCTAACAGGATCCAGTGGGGGGCCAGGTGTGGTGGCTCATGCCTGTAATCCCAGCACTTTTAGAATCCGAGGCGGGAGGATTGCTTGAGCCTAGGATGGATGGAGATCAGACTGGGCAACACAGGAAGACCCTGACTCTATTTATTTTTAATAGCCAGGGCACGGTGGCTCACACCTATAATCTCAGGACTTTGGGAGGCCAAGGCAGGCGGATCACCTCAGGTCAGGAGTTCGAGACCAGCCAGGCCAACATGGTGAAACCCCAACTCTACTAAAAGTACAAAAAATTGCTGGGCAGGGTGGCTCACGCCTGTAATCCCAGCACTTTGGGAGGCTGAGGCA